ATAGGAAAAAGTTGGCTTAGGCCCACTAGTCTATAACTAAATATGAGCCCAATGGCCCGAATTCAATCTAGGTCGATCTAATGATCACGATTTCATTTTGTATTTGAATTTTAATGTTTTTTTATATAACTCCAAATCACTTGAAAGCTTGAGTGTGTGTTTTTTTAAAATAGGAGAATCTAATAAAAATATCAAAAAAATAATTTGCAAAAAATATATTGATTAAAATACCTTCAAAACTTTTTAGGGGTATTTAAGCGAATTTATATTTTTCGAATTATTCTTTTAATAGTTTTATTAGATGAGCCTTATTGAGATGAATAGACGCCTAAACTTTCATGTGATTTGGATTTGTAAAAAAAAATTAAAATTAAAATATGAAATGAGGTTTTGACCGTCAGATCGGCTCATATTCAATCTGGGCCGTTGGGCTTATATGTAGCTGTAGGCTAGTGGGCTTAGATTTTCCATATATATACATAGGAAGAGACTACAAAATGCCTATGGGCAAAAATGAACAGTATTTTAACCCATAGGTTAGGCGCCGTCTGATTTTTTCGGATGGCATGGGTTAACGACCGTCTTGGACATAGCATGTCCGTTGCGGTCACGGACATGCTATGTCCGTGACGGGATTATTTTCAGGCAAAAAATGTACAGGACCGTCACGGCTCCTGTAGGTCTGTGGCGGTTTTTAGGGAAAATCGGGTGAAATACTATAGCAATTCGCCTGTAGGCATTTTTTAAGACTTCCCCCCCCCCCAACCACACGCACGCAGAGAGAGAGAGAGAGATAACAGTGAACTAGGAAAACGACGACTTAGCCTTCTGATAGTATAATGGTCTAATTTAGTAAATACAAATGGGTGAAATGGGAAAAAGTAGAATAGTAGGAAACTGCATTTGATATTTTCTATTGCATGTAGGTATTGATAACATATATTTGTCAACCATTAATGAAATGAAAAATTTCTCCTGTTGATCCCAAATGTTTTAATATCCTAAGGTGGTTCAATGGATTAGAGATTAGCGCATAAGGAACTGAAGCCTGAGAGCCTAGTATTTCTTGGAATGGAAAGACAACAAACTTTAAAAAATAGTTCTATATAGAAACATACATAAATTTTGGAAAGAGATTAAACCAAGGGTCTTTTGTGCATATCAATATAAATAGACTCGGTGAGTCCAACTCAGACTTGCTTGAGTCACTTAAACCGAAGCCTTAAAGGTTTTGGATGAATCCTACTAGGATTGATTTGTTTCTTGTTTGAGTCTAGTCTGAGTCTATTTGGTTCTTAGAAATAATAGTGAGTCTGGTTTGATGCTAAAAAAAATAGTGGTTCTTAGAAATAATAGTGAGTCTGGTTTGATGCTAAAAAAAAATAGTGAGTTTGGTTTGAGTCTTGATGGGCTGAACTTGGGGGGCCTTCCCTTGCTGGGTTCCATGTCTTTACACATTGGTGTAGATGATTAACTTTTCAAATGATTATGTTTATATTTCACTACCCCATAATTGACTTGTTCAAAAAGTCAATTAGTGTGTATGTGTCTGTGTGTGTTTGTGTGGTGACTTGTTCAAAAAGTTGGAGGTGGCCAGGCCCTGCTGCCTATGGCGGCACCCCCGGGTGGTGATGGGGGGTTATTTGTTGTGTGTGTTGCCTGCTTGCATGCATGTGTGTGTGTGTTTATATATATGTATATTTAGTGTCTGTGTGTGTGAGGCCTTGCATGAAATACTTAAAGATCATTTACCTTTTTTTCTTATCTTATATGTAGAGTAAGAGAGATAGTGTATATGAATCTGTATTTGTGAGAGAGTTCTTGAACATTTGGAGGACATTCTTCATTTTCTTCTTCTAATATGGAGAGTGAGAGAGTCTGTGAAAGAGAGGAATCTTTCATTGAACACTTGGAGGTCATCTTCTTCGTTTTCTTTTTTTTCTATGTAAAGAGACCATATGGGTCCATGTGTGTCTTTGTGTGTGTGTGTGTGAGAGAGAGAGAGAGAGAGAGAGAGAGAGAGAGAGAGAGAGAGAGACGCTACACACGTACACGTAGTAGACGTACTCGTTCGTTGTTTACTTTATTACGTACGTAGGAGGACGACGACACTACGTCGCCGTACCAGTAGA